TTTATAGATAACTGTGCTGGATAGCTTTAGTGTCAACTTGACACACCTGGGTTGAGGGAGCCTCAGTTGGGGAATTGCCTCTACAGGACTGGCCTGTGGCCATGTCTGAGGGGCATCTTCTCGATGAGTGATGTGGGAGGGCCCAGCCCACTGTGGGTGGTGCCACCCCTGGGAAGGTGGGCCTGTGTTGCATAAGAAAGAAGGCTGAGCAGGGCCTAGGCAGCAAGCCAGTAAGCAGCATTCCTCCATGGCCTGTGCTTCAGCTCCTGCCTCCAGGTTCCTGCCCTGAGTTCCAACCTTGGGCTCCCAGATGAACTGTGACCTGGGATATGTAAGCTAAATAAACCCTTTCCTCCCCAAGTTGGTAGTGGTCAGAGTATTTTGTCACAGCAATGAAGAAACAGACTAAGACAGTAACTAATGTTGTATTGTATATAGCTACCACAGATTTATTCATCTGTTCAAAGTCAAGGTTGAGCCCATATTTTGACTATTGTCAATAGTGCTGTAATAAACGTGAGACAGCAAATATCTCTTTGACATGACCCACATTTCTTTTCCTTTGGATTTATACTGAGTAGTAGAATGACTGAATCATATGCTACTTATGTACACCACAAATATCCATTAAGGAAGTGAATGATTAAAGAGATATAAATGGTGATGATACACATTTACTTGTATTCCATGAGAAGTTTCTTTTTTACAATTTTTTCTTATTAAAAAATTCAAGTTACACATTTAGAATTTGCTACTTTAAGAAAGCACTCATGGTTATTTTCAAAGAAATATTCTGTGGATTCTAAAGTCAAGTGTACAATGACAAGTTTGTGAGAATGATAATTTTAAATAATTGGGAAACCATTTCAATAAAGGAAAGTAATAGCAAAATAATTCATACTGTTGTTTAAGGAAGTACCTACGTCTGAAATACTTTTTTTTTTTTTTTTTTTTTGGTCTTTTTGAGGCTGGGTCTCCCTGTGTCTCAGCTGGCCTGGAACTCACTATGTAGACCAGTCTGGCCTTGAACTCACGGAGATCTGCCTGCCTTTGCCTCCTGAATGCTCGGATTAAAGGCATGTGCCACCATGCCTGGCTGAAATACTTTTAAATATTGCCTGAGCATAAGGGAATCTTTGTTCCTTCTTGGTGCTAGTGTCAAGGCCTGTAGTTTAGAGTATTTGAATGTTTGGTACACTGCATCTTCCACCTGTAAGGATGACCAGTAGAAACGAGAGGGAACTGAAATCTCGGTTGATGGAGCAGCAGTGATTAGCATTGTGGGGAATATAAATCACTTTTGGACATTTCAGTGTCTTCAGAGTTCAAGCTTGAGCTTCCTGAAGAAGTCCCAGAACAAGCCTGGTGATTAGAACCTCTTCAACACTAAAGCACAGCTAAAAGACAACCTTTTCTTTTAGGAATGAGATGCATTTGGTCATGCAGCCAGAGTGTGGAAGAAGCTGTTTCACAACTTTTCAAACAAGACCAGCATTGTCAGAAGGCTGCTGCTTGCTCAGTGCTTCCCTCATCCCCTTCTGCCCTCAGAAGATTAAAGTGTTCAGGGCCATGATGCTGCCCAGTTTTGCTACCAACTTTTCTTCTTCCTAATCTTTTGTTTCAATGTCTGCTTTCTTTTCTTTATGTGCTCACTGAAGCCTGATTGTGGGGTCAAGCTATAATTAGTCCATATATGAAGTTTAATTCATTGTGGCTCTTTTGGCATTAGACTCAAATGGGCTTTGATGTCTGGCTGGAGCTTTGATCCCAGATCCTCAAATGGTGGTCATCACCCACACTCAAAGGACCGCCTTTGCTTTTCCCCCTCCTATGTGGAGACAGCTCTCCCCAATTACATCAGTTGTGTCTGTTTGGCCATAAAAACTGCAAGGCATCATTTGTTGCTTTACTCTACAGAAAATGTGCAACTGATGCTCCTGACTCTGTCTGCAATAGAATTTCACTTCTGAATAAGGAATTTGCAGAATGATGCTCCAACTTTGGTGATGGACCTCTTAGGAACTGTTCTGCCCAAGGGCATAGAAAATACCTTTCTGTAAGATCGACAGGATCACAGTGTTTTCAACCAAGGCTCCCTTTCATGCTGGCTTCTATACTCACTTTGCAGAACCTCAGAGAAGCAGATACTTTCTATCATTGGTGCTACACTTTCTGAGGGTCCTTTCTGAGAAGAATGAGCCTCCAGGGAAAGGAGAAGACTTAAGGAGGGCTGGATAAACAAATAGCACTGTTAGAGGAAGTGCTGGGACCTGCATTAAAAAGAAAGGGAAAGAAAAATTAAAACCACAGGGGAACACTGTTGGTGACAGAAGGGAACAGTGGCTGATTACTGTCAACTACCTTCTCTTACCTACAACCAAAACATAGACTCTGAGAGGGAAGAAAATGCAGCAAATTAGATTGCAGAGGAGAATATTTGGTTGTAAGGTTAAGAAAAAATCAGGGGCAACCAGACTAGTCACACTTAATCAGATGACATTGGGAGTTTTCCTGGAAAAACAATTGCAGTATTGAGCTCCTTGCTTCTGACTTCATTTGATGGCCGGAGTTTGTTTTAATTAGCATCTGAATGAACAGCATTATTTATTAATGTGTAATGGATACTTTGAAAAGCATAACTTTTTTCCTATTTGTGATCATTTTATTGGTGGAACCATGTGAATACATTAGTTTTAATATTTAAACTTGCTGGGAACACTTTTTCATGGAGATGAACAAGCTGCTATGACAAATGGTTTGCTTTGGACTAAAAAGCCAGTCTAAAGTGGCATTTGGTTGGGGACCATGGTGTGTGTGGTGGTGGTGGTGGGGAGGTAGGAAAGTGGAGGTTTGGAGACATAAGGACTTGTCAGCTTTAACAAGATTTATTAGTAGTGAGTAAAAATGTGTTCCAGCTCCCCCTTCAACTATATATAGTTGTCAATGTATGACATAACACAGGCCACAATAATAGACTCCACCCAGTCAGAAGGAATCTAACTAAAAACTAGAAAGCAAGATGCTTGTTTAGAAATGGGTAGAATGAAACAGTGGCATTTGGCGGGTTAGACATTAGTTCTTGATGACTTCCTGAAATTAAGGAGCAAAATTCATGCATTATCAGGTAAGGTTTGGCCCATAGTAGGCACAAAGATTAGGTTTTTCTGAATAGAACTGACTTTGCATGCTTAGGAACATCTGAATATAGTTTCATTTTATATCTAATATAGAATCATGCTAATAATGAATCAAAGTTGAGGTTCCTTTCATGTCTGTGGGAGGCAGCAAAGAAGAGAGGGTGTGGAAAGGGTACTCTTGCTTTTGTTTGTATCTTTTTAGTAAATGTCGACTTAATTTTATTTGTAGTAGAGATTAAATGGGTACTATTAAGTTTAAAACTTAGTTTAAAAGTATGCTAATGGAAAACAATTTACAACTAGCCTACATTCTCTTGAGTCTTCCACTAGTAATTATCAGTTGAATTCTTGCAAGCCCAGGGCTGAGTGAGAATTAGGAGGATATTAAGACAGCTCCTGCCTTCAGGGGTCTCTTACAATGTAGCAGGAGACAAAATAGGAACACCTAAGTACACAGATGTGTGTGTGTGTGTGTGTGTGTGTGTGTGTGTGTGTGTGTACCCAGAAGAAGAACCAAACAATAGTATGAAGTAAGGACCAAATATTCATGCAGTTAAGGAGTTCAAAGGAGGGAAGTTAGTGAGTTGATCTTGGAAGATTAGACCACACAGAGGGCAGAAAGGAGAGAATTCCTAGCAGGAGTAAGCAGCCTCGGCAAGGGGGTAAAGTTCTGACAACCTAAGATCTGTTTCTTCACATAACAATTTGTCTTAACTTCACCAAATTGTGACTTGCTGAATTCAATTTCTGAGGTGCTGCTCCCTAAACAAGCCAGCTAGTGGCACCTCCAAATCCTCATCCCACTGATATGTCCTGTGACTGGCGTTGTAAGTACACAAGATCAAATCATAAATGGTACAGGGCAAAACTTTAGAGGTGCCTCTCGAAAAACGAGAGTTGTAACTCATATAATCCTTAAGAGTTACGTGTCCCCCCCCCATATACACTGCATGTTGTGTGTTATAATTTTGTGTGTATAGGTTCTGCTAATAGCTCCGTTTTACTGAGGTAAACGGAGGCACAAAGAGAGCGCAAGTAACTTCTTCCTGTTCATGGATGAAAGAGAAATCAAATTCAGACAGTCTGGTCTCGGAGTCAGAGCTCTGATAAAAACCAAAACGGTAATCGCTGACACGCCACCCTCTTAAAGCCCAGGCTTTTAAACGAATAGATGCAATCGCTCGCCTTACAGCGACATCCTTCTGTCAAATGTTAAATACCTTCCATAGCAAGACTGCCGTCGAAAAAAATGAGAGAAAGTTTTAGAATAGTGCTCTTGCGTTTTTTTTTTTCAGTTAGAGTTTCAAACAAAGCCAACCCAAACCCAAGCGCGTAGAAAAGGTCTCGAGTGCCCTGGCAGGCATGGGCTGGGGAAGGTGAGCCCACATCAGAGCGGCGGACTTGAAGAGTGACGCGTGTGAAAAGGGGTAAGGGAGAGTTTCAGAAAGTTCTCCCGGGAGCAGCCTTGGCGGACCTGCCCGCGAGGCCTATTGTAACGGGACGCGGGGCTCCTGGCGCTCCCTGGGCCTCGGGGAGATGGAGACCAGCCAATGAACATCGGGGATAACTCGGGTGCAGGCAACCTAAAAAGAGGACGCGGGGCCGGGGAGGTCGGGGGCGGGGCGACGAGGGCGGGCCAGGGCAATGAGGGGCGGGACCGGAGTAATGAGGGCGGGACCTACCGATGAGGGGCGGGGCCGGGGCGGGGGGCGCCGGAGGTCGCGGCGCCTGACTGGAGCCGGGTAGCCGTCGCCTCGGAGCCGGACTCGGAGCATCTCAGAGCGGGGCGGGGTCTGACGACGAGGGCGGGGCCTAGGCGGGGCGCGCGGGAGGTCTCGGCTCCTAATAGGAGCCCCGCAGCCAGCGCCTCGGAGCCGGGTGGGAGGCGTCGGAGAGGAGAGGGGCTCGGAGTGCTTAGGAACCCCGCGGGCCGGAGGCGGCGCCAGACGGGAGCGGGGCTCCGAGCTCCTGGGAGTGGGGTGGCAAGGGGCGGAGTGGCCCGGCAGCCGAGTGACGTCGCGCGGGTCGGGGCGTTAACAGCTGCGGGGCGGCGGACTGGAGACGAGCTGGGACTGCGGACGGCGCCGCCCGGGCTGGGTGCGCTAACCTGGCTGCGGGTCCCGAGTGCGCGTGGCCTCGGTCCCGCCGCAGGGCGGCATGAGCCCGCAGCCGCTGCCTTAGCCTGGCTCGTGCGCGGGGGCCGGCGCGGCTTCGGGGGTCATGAAGCCCAACCCCGCGGGCGCGGCGAGGGAGTCGGAGCCGCAGGCAGCCGCCCGAGGCGAGCAGCGCGCGGAGCCGGAGGGGCGCTGGCGGGAGAAGGGCGAGGCGGACACGGAGCGCCAGCGCACCCGGGAGCGCCAAGAGGCCACGCTGGCCGGGCTGGCGGAGCTGGAGTACCTGCGGCAGCGCCAGGAGCTGCTGGTCCGCGGAGCCCTGCGCTGTGCCGGGGCGGCGGGGGCCGTGCGTGGCGGGGAGCTGCCGGGGGACGCGGCGCAACGCAGCCGCCTGGAGGAGAAGTTCTTGGAGGAGAACATCTTGCTGCTGCGGAAGCAGCTGGTAGGTGGCGGCCGATGGCCGGGGCAGGTCGGGCAGGTGGCCTGGGGTGGGCGTCAGGTGGCCTCTGGCTGCCGGAGCCCTGGAGGCCACTACATCCCCGCCCTGCCGCGGGTCTCCCGGATCCCGGGCGTTGCGGGTGCCCGCGGCGCGTGCCGCCCACGCCTAGCTGGAGGGAGAGGAAGGGGTGGCCGCTCTTCCTCCTGCGTTTGGGGTTCTTGGAGTCCCTGGATTCCAGCCTGAAAGTTAGGCGTTTTCATGTTCCCCTCCCCAGAACAAAATGCCATTTCATATCGTGGTCTCCCTACTTTCATCTCCTCCCGCCCTGGGGGCACAAAAGCGGGGAAGGGGCTTGTGGCTCGGCTGACCATCCAACGCCGAGTTTCCCGTTCCCCCAGCGCCTGCACGGAGCCATAGGCTCCCGGTGCTTTCGCCCCAGATGGTGCTTGGTTTCCAGTAGAAGCCCTTTGTATCTGGCAGTAAACTAGATGCAAATGACGGCAGTGCGCTGGAGAGTCGGCCCCTCCTCGCGGATTTTCCGCGGTCCGCCAGCTGCGCTTGGGGTGGAGGTGGAGAGATGGGGACGAGCTCGCTGGCAGCCTTTATCTTACGCTTGCTGTCAGTCTCATCATTCTGTGCAGGCTTCATTCATGGGGAAGAAAAAGAACTTTGGACCCAAATGCGTTGAGAACGACTTTTGACACCACCTCAAAATAATGGCGGCAGCTTTGTCTTGGTGACCTCAAAATGTAGTTTTGGAAACTCCAAAAAGAGTCTTACCCGACCGTGGTTCATTATCCTGGGCTAGATAATGGCCCTCTTAAAGTGAGGCTGTGTGGTTAGCATACGTTTTCTTGTCTTACCGCTTTCCGGGTCATTTATGGATTTATTGAGCATCAGAGTGCTTTTACTTGATTCATTTTTTTTTTTCCTCCGGTGAAATTCACATTTTAGCTAACCATCAGATGGTTTGTCTCCAGGCTTTTAAATCAGGACATGGACAAGGAGTAGTAGTATTCTGCATCTCTTTTTGTAAGGATGTGTGCTGTGGTTTGTGCAAATAGCTCAGTTTTGGGATTCTGGTTGTTTCTTTGGACCAAGTTTGTGTGTACATTAATTTGAGCCAGTTCTTACTGGTTGTTCCTGGTCGTTTAGGTTTCATGCATTGTCTTGTACAACAGCTCCTTTTGTCTTCATGAATCCCGAGATTGTGAGGGGCACATTCCTATTGTCCGCTTCAGGGGAGCAAGGCCGTGTGTCAGGAGAATTCCACACCAGTCAGTGTTTATGGTACTATTTTCATTTGTAGGCTTGGCATTCTTGATTTGAACCAGATGCCTTTTGAGCCTTCGCCTTTCCAGCAATAGGAAGCACTAGGTGGCGGTGTGAGTTAGCATAACCAATTTGTCACCTTTAGAAACCCAGTGCAGTTCAAATCTTGATGGGCTTTCCCTTGAGGGTTTTGGATTCTGCCAGCTCACATTATACTTGACACTGGTCATTAGTATTAATTTCTCACTTTCAAAGGCCCTAAGACTGATTAAGCCGTACAAAGCAACTAATAGAAAACAAAATTCTGCAGGCCAAGACATTTGGCCAGAAAGCCTTACCTAAGTAAGACTAATAGTGTATTGTAGGAAATCTGTTACTCTGACTTTGAGAGCCTACTGTGAAGGATTTCTCTTTAAACTGGCAGAACAGCAGATGATTTAAAGACCATGCAATTTTCCTACCCTTACCTACAAAAAGCCAAGGTTTGTATAGGTTAGTAAAAACTAAAAAAACAAGTCTTTTCCTGTAGTACTGGGCATTGAACACAGGACCGAGTGCATGCTAGGCAAGTGTTCTACAACTGAGCCAAATCTCCAGCTATATTATTTTATTTTATTATTTTTAAGGACTTTTAAATTTCTCTTATTATTGTGTATGTGAATGCAGGCACGTGCCACAGTGAAGGTCAGGGGACAACTTTCAGGAGTCAGTTCTCTCCTTCCATTGTGGGTTCAAGGGATTGAATTCAGATCATCAGGCTTGCACAGCAAGCGTTTATACCGAGTCATCTTGTTAGCTCTGTTATTTTTAATGAAGAAACTTTATATTACTAAAAAACTGTGAGAAAATGGATTTAAAGATAGGAATTTTCTTGAAGTTTTTAATTTTAGATTATCCAGTAAAACTCTGGTTTTAGAAGGTTTAGGAAACAGTTTAGAATAAGTAGTTTGAATAGCAGACTTTCTGGTTTTCTATCACCAAAGTGTGCCCTTTTTTTTTTTCTTTTGCCTGCTTCTTCCTAACCAGAATTGTTTGAGGAGAAGAGACGCTGGTTTGTTGAATCAGTTGCAGGAACTTGACAAGCAGATAAGTGACCTGAGACTGGATGTGGAGAAGACATCTGAAGAGCACCTGGAGACAGACAGCCGGCCTAGCTCAGGTGAGTGAGCAAGCACCACAGAGTTCTGCACTCATGGGAAATACTCTGGTTAGCAAATGGCTATGGAGTTTGTTTCCAGTGTGAAGATAATGAAAAAGCAATTTGCCATTTAGTTTGTTGAGAGGGAAATAAAGTCAAGACAACATTTTTAATAATGAGATTGATCTGCCTGGAGTCTCTGGTTAAAAAACAAAAAACTTGTATTCAAATTCTGGAAGAGCAGTCCTCCTTTGAAACTTGAGAAAGTCAGATCTGGGCTAGAACATTAGTCACACTTCCACTTCCTGAGACCACTTCAAAAGGCCCACCCCCCCTTCTTTTAAGCCATTTGGCTTAAATTTGTTTTTCTTTAAAGTTATTTATCTATTTCTTAATGTTTTGAAGACAAAGTCTCACTTTGTAGCCCAGGCTGGCTTTGAACCCATGGTTTCAGCTTTCTCAGTGTGGAGATTATAGGCATGAGCCACCGTGCCCAGAGAACTTAGTTATTTCTTCTGAAACATTTATGATAAAGTTGATGTTCTGGCAGATATGTTTCTTTCTTAAACATCTTTAAAGATAGAGACAAAGAGGAAGGGTAAATTGAGGATGAAAGTCTCTTTGAAATATACCCATAGTTATATGCTTTTTTTCCCTAAGAAATGTTTGAAAAAAGACCACACAACAAGGACCCTAAAATTCACAATATATATGGCACCCCCCTTCCCCCCCAAAAGCTTTCTTTTCTCTTTCCTAGATGACTTACCCTTTGTCTTTTTAAGCATGAATGAGTATTATTGCTTGACATGATCTTAAGTCCAACTATCTTTTCATTTGTAGGGTTTTATGAGCTGAGTGATGGGGCTTCAGGATCGCTTTCTAATTCCTCTAACTCCGTGTTCAGTGAATGTTTGTCCAGCTGTCATTCCAGCACTTGCTTTTGCAGCCCCTTGGAGGCAGCCTTGAGTATCTCAGATGGTTGCCCCAAAACTGCAGGTAAGAATTTTTAGCATTGACAAAAATTTTAATCAGAGGTCAAGGGTCCTTAATGTTATATACCTTCAACTGCTTTTACTGATACAAAAACAAAAGCTGGTTTGTTTGCTGCACTTAGGGCCACAGTTATATGTAGAATCAACACTTGGACCTAGGTGACCTTCTAGGACTAACCCAATTTTTGGGGTACCATTTGGTTCTATCACAGTAGCAAGACACTTCAACTTTAGAAACACTGCCCCAGTATTATAAGTATTGAGCTCTGTTTTGTTGCTATTTAACTCATCTGCATTTTTTCTAATGCTGGTGATTGAATCCTTGCACATATCAAACACACACTATACCACCCCTAATCCCATTGTTTACTTTTTTATGTAGTGCTGGGTACCCTTTGGCCTTGAGCATACTAAGTGAGCATTCCACCACTAATCTATATCTTCAGCCCTTCATTTTCTTCTGAAAACCATTCTGGAACGGTTTTCTTCCTGTACAGTACACATTAAGTTAAATACATCTGTCATTCTAGTCAAGAACTGCTGACACTCCTTGAAGCAGTGTCCTTCCATGTTTCCCAGAATACCCCACATGCTCAGAGTTCCCCATAATCTATATGCTATAATTCTCCATTTCAGGATTTCAGAGAGAATCATATTGTTAGTACTAGAATTTCTGATGATCTGCATGTTTATCTTCTTTGAATCCTCTCAGCAGCTCTTCAGAGTACAGTTGTTTTTAGTTCTACTATATATATATATATGCATGAAAATTAGGCCAAATAAGGTGTCTTAATTAGTTTCTCTATTGCTGTGACAAAACACTCTGACCACTACTAACTTGTGGAGGAAAGGATTTGTCTTACATGTCCTGGGTCACAGTTCATCACTGAGAGAACCCAAGGTAGGAGCTCAGGGCAGGAACCTGGAGGCAGGAGCTAGAGCATAGGCCATGGAGGACTGCTGCTTACTGGCCTGCTCCCCTGGCCCCTGCTCAACCTGCTTATGTAACACAGAACCACCTGCCCAGGGGTGGTACCACCCACAGTTGGCTGGGCCCTCTGACATCACTCAACAATCAAGAAAATGCCCCACAGACATGGCCACAGGCCAGTCTGATGGAGGCAATTCCCCAACTGAGGCTCCCTCAACCCAGGTATGTCAAGTTGACACTAAAGCTATCCAGTACATAAGGTTATTTAAATTAAGGTTATATAGTTAAGGCATGGCAGGGGTAGAATTCAAATTCAGATCTAATTACCAAGTTCATGTTTTCCTACCATTCCAAGGGAACTCGGAATTGTATTCAACCATTTTATCTCATATAAGAGGAATTCTGGCTTAGCCATTGTCAAAAGCTCCTCATATGCTGACACAATTGTTCCTGAAAGTCAAAACTTCCCCTTGTTCGTATTATATTTTGATTTCCTAGAACAGAGAAAATATAGTTAGAGCTCTTAGAGGTTCAGAAATAAGTCATTGAATTCTAGTTTATGTTTTTCATTTGGGCACAAGGCTGAATTTTTGAGCCTAGGCACAGCAAACGTCACACTGAGCAGCTGAAGTTACTGATTGGTCACGCCTTTGAATTTACAGTACAGTGTGTGTTGTCAGCAGCAATCATTTGGGAGAGCACAGAACTGTTATCTAGTGTCTGGGCCTCAAGTTCATTGGTAATTGCTCCCCATCACTCAGCAGATCTGGTTTCAGAGGGAAACTTTATAAACCCATTAAGCACTTTGGTACAGGTTTTCCTTGAAGACAGACCCTTAACTCTTCCAAATGCCACATCCTTCTATAATTGAGACAGTTGGGCTGGGCTGGGTCTTGGGGACTGTTTTGTTCTACTCTAATTAGGGAAAAGAGCTGAATGGTGACATGTAGGCAAATGCAGCTTCAAGAAAGGCAAAGGTAGGATTTAGGGTAGTGGGGGAGGAGAGATGAGAAAGGATGTTAGCTAGAGAAGTCCCCTATTTTTTTTCTCTCCTTCCCTTCCCCCCCCACCCCCCCTTCCACTCTCTGATCTCCCTCCCTCCCACTCTCCCTTTGTCTCACTATGTAACCCAGGCTGGCCTGCAAGTCCATATCTCACTTCACCCCCTCCTTCATGCTGAGATTGTGTTTACCTCCATGTTAGGCTTTTTCTTCTTTTATTAAGCTGTTTATTAAAGGACGAGTAGGTAGAGACATGGCATTTTCTTTCTTTCTTTTTTTTTTTGGTCTTTTTTGAGACAGGATCTCCCTGTAGCCATAGCTGGTCTGGATTCACTATGGAGACCAGGCTGGCCTTGAACTCACAGAGATCCACCTATTGGGATAAAGGCGTGCACCATTATGAGACATGGCATTTTCTTTCTTTCTTTTTTTTTTTGGTCTTTTTTGAGACAGGATCTCCCTGTAGCCATAGCTGGTCTGGATTCACTATGGAGACCAGGCTGGCCTTGAACTCACAGAGATCCACCTATTGGGATAAAGGCGTGCACCATTATGAGACATGGCATTTTCATATTTTTTGATCACTTTAAAATATTGTCCTTGGGTCTAATTTTTTTTTCTCCCAAGAATATTAATTATTGAAGTCCAGAAAGCTTTCCCTTAAACAGTTAACACAGAATTTGGCACATAGTAGGTTCCCAATATTTCAGTGACTATAATTATAATAGAGGAAAGCTTTGATTTTTCTGTTAACTGAAGGCCATTAAAAGAATTTGCTATTTATTTACTTGGCTTATTCACCAAGGTAAGAAATCAACATTTAACTAAGAGCTTGATTTCACTTTGTTTTGGCATCTACATTTTTGAGATGTAAGAAACTTATTCATTAAAGTACTGTCTTTAAAAATCTTACCAAAAATTCATTATCCTATTGAAATGCTTATTTTATCACTACGGAACATTTTTCTATCACACTGAAATGGTATTAAGTAGAATCTTGATATACTTTACCTCAGAGTTCCTTTGCACATGCATCATCTTAATAAAGACTATACTGATAGTACATCATGATTTTCACTAAATTTTACAAAGTGCTTTCTTTATATTATTCAATAGTTTGAAAATATTGTGATTAGCTAAATATTTTTCCCTTGAAGATATGTGTTCGTTATTTTCTAATGCTGTGATAAAACACTGACCAAAACCAACTTGGGGAGGAAAGGGTATATTGTATCTTATACTTGCAAGTGACAGTCCATCTTTGAGGGAAGTCAGGCAGGAGCTCAGTGCAGGAGGGCAGGAGGGTAGGAGGGTAGGAGGCTAGAGGCAGGAGCTGAAGCAGAGCCCAGGGAGGAGCACTGTTTACTGGCCTGTGCTCAGCCTTTCTTATACAACTTGGGACCACCTGTGCCCTCCACATCACTCAACAGTCAAGAAAATGCCTCACAGACACACCCACAGGCCAAATAGATAGTGGGAATTCCCAGATTGAGCATCTCTCTTCCCAAGTGTGTCAAGTTGACAACCAGGGACAACGATGAGCACATGCTACATGCTATTTTGTCAGCGTTTTTGTTGACTGGTTTTTCCTTCATTTTAACACATGAACTTTATGAAGCTGATGGAGAAGCTGGTGGAGTCTTCTCTAATCCTCTGTCTGAGTTTCTCTTAATAACCTGTCCAGAGTCAGGTTGGCACCACTATGGTCTTCTTGAGTCCCTTCACAAATCTTTCAGCTCCCATAGAATGGTGGGCACGTAAAGGCCACTGAGAAGACCAGGGCCAACTGGCAGTTCCCCCTACAGCACATTTAATTCCCTTGATGTCATTGCAGATGTGGACCCCAAGTACCAGTGTGATCTGGTGTCTAAAAACGGGAACGACGTGTATCGCTACCCCAGTCCTCTGCATGCTGTGGCTGTGCAGAGCCCCATGTTTCTCCTCTGTCTGACGGGCAGTCCTCCGAGGGAGGAGAGGCTTGGGAACCACGGCGGCGACGGCTGCGGCGGCCCTGAACTGAGCGTCAGCAGAGCAGACAGCGCCCTGCCGGCTCCCAGCGGGCTCTGGGCTCCCCAGCCTCCCTCCAGCAGGAGGGTGGACGGCTACATCCTGAGCCTGCTCCAGAGGAAAGCACAGCCCATCAGGACCAACAAGCCCAGGACCAGCGTGAGCGCCGACCCCGCCAAGGGGCTTCTGAGGAACGGCAGCGTGTGCGCCAGGGCCCCAGGGGGCGCCGCGCAGGCCAGCGTGACCCTTAGGAGTTGCCGAGCTGCCTGCCCGCCCACTATGCCCTCACCTGACGGGGCCCCCTTCTCCCCTCCCAAGCAGCACCCCAAGGACGCCAAGGCCGAGCCGCTGGACAGCAAGTGGCTGGCTCAGCCCGAGGGCTCGGCAGGCGCCGCCCTGGAGCCTCAGAGCAAGCACCTGGCCAAGCCCACCAGGGCAGCGGCCCAGGAGCCCGCGCGGAGCTCCGCGGAGCCTACCAAGGACGGCGGCCAGGCCTCTCCGAGCGCCAGCCCCCACAGAGGCCCCACAGCCCCGGCCGACAGCAGAGCCACGCCGCCGAAGAAGCCGCCACCGAAGGGCCTGCAGGCCGCGCCGCTTCCTGCGGAGGACAGGCCGGCCCTGGACTTCAAGAGTGAGGGCTCCTCGCAGAGCCTCGAGGAAGGGCGCCTGGTGAAAGCGCAGTTCATCCCCGGGCAGCAGCCGGGCGCCAGGCCGCACCGCACGCACAGGAACGTGGGCCTCACAAGGAGCACCACCCTGAAGCAGCACGGCCAGGGCGAGCACGGCCTGCCCACCGTCAGGGAGAGACCGCGGGCGGCCAGCAAGAAGTGCCGCTTCCCTGACGACCTGGATACAAATAAGAGACCGAGGAAGGCCTCCAAGGGCCGGCGCAGCTCCCTGGGGCCCGAGGCCTGCCTTCCGGGCAGGGCCCTGGGTGCTGGCGGCCATCGGGCGGGCGGCAAAGCGCACGGCCACGGACGGGAGGCAGTGGTCGCCAAACCTAAGCACAAGCGAACCGACTACCGCCGCTGGAAGTCCTCGGCCGAGATCTCCTACGAGGAGGCCCTACGGCGGGCGAGGCGGGCTCGCAGGGAGCACGCGGCCAACTTCCCGGTCCCGGTGGCGCTGCCCTACACTAGCCCCTATGCCTACATGGCCAGTGACTCCGAGTACTCGGCCGAGTGCGAGTCACTGTTCCACTCCACTGTGGTGGACACCAGCGAGGACGAGCAGAGCAACTACACCACCAACTGCTTCGGAGACAGCGAATCCAGCGTGAGCGAGGGCGAGTTCGTGGGCGAGAGCACCACCACCAGCGACTCCGAGGAGAGCGGGGGCTTAATTTGGTCCCAGTTTGTCCAGACGCTGCCGATTCAGACGGTCACAGCCCCGGACCTGCACAGCCACCCCACGAAAACCTTTGTCAAAATTAAGGCCTCGCATAATCTCAAGAAGAAAATCCTCCGCTTCCGGTCTGGCTCTTTGAAACTGATGACGACAGTTTGAGCAGCATCGACGCAGCAAGTGTCTTCCCCTTCCCTTAGTTTCTGAAAAGAAGAAAAAAGGTGGTGTCTTAATTTTGTGTCATGCTTTCATGGAATACTTTCCTTTTATTAAATAAAACCAAGATAAATTATCTCTCATCATCATGTATGGACACTAGTGCCTTTAACGGAAGGTCAAGGGTGTATTGCTAGTTAGAAGTAAATATTGAAGTTTTTAATGCTGGTGATAGTGAGTGAATTTTTTGATATTTAGTTTATAATTTCTGAGCATCTGGCAGAGTACAGGTTTTGATGTTCAAGGTCTGTTGGGATAAGACCTTTGGTTTCCAAGGTCAGGTGGATGGAAGGCTAAGATGTCCGTTTGCCCCTTCAGTACTTAGGGCTCTGTCCCTGTAAGGGCTTTCCTGTTGAGGGGCATTAGATATGACTGTGTGAAGTAGGAGAAGCAGTCATGGTTTTCTGTAAAGTTTTTGATAATGTAGTCTGCATTTCTCAGATGTTTTCTGGCCTGTTTCCTACTCAGAAATGCTCTTTTTATTGGATTTAGAACTTGTAGCACAGATAGACTGTAAATCCACAGGTGGCAACCTGGATAGGGACAGGACTTAAAAAAGACTTCCCAAAACCTTTGCCACATTTAGTGCCTCCGCCTTGGTTACAGTAACTCCTCTTTCGGCCATATATGCAGCAGTTTTTGATGCCTTTCTCTCCACTCCTAACTTGTAGCCAATACAACTTTGTCCCTGAGAGGACTTGCCTTTGGAGTAAAAAAATCCTCTGGTGCAGAGAAATTCATTAAGGGGCATGACTCCACAGGATTGCTCATTGAGCACTGTGCCACCTAAGCATTGACCTAACATTAGTGCAATCCAGTCCAGATTGGAGGGGTTTTTTTTTTTTTTTTTTTTTTTTTTTTTTTTTTTAAAGGTTTTTGGTAAACAGTATTGTGTAAAATAGCTTTTAAAAGATACCAGTCTATGCATGTTTTGTGCATGAGTAGTAGCTGTTTTGATACTCCTGTTGTTGAATTACTGTATGATATAAACAGTATGTGTTTTTATATATATCATTGTGTAAATTTAATATAACACATTATATGCTGTACTAAACTGTTTTATTGCTGTTAAGTTTGTTATTTGGGTATAAAAAACCAGATGTTTGCACCTATAAATCTTGTGCTGGTTATTGGTTTTATTTGGGGGGTTTTATATTAGTCCTAGTCTAGCCTTAGAATATTATTTGCCATAATTGGGGCAAGTTTTAATATGCTGAGAAATAATGAATACACAAATCTGGAAAGACAAGCCACTTTAGAATGATAAAGTATTTTAAAATGTAAGGTAAGGGGCTGGAGAGATGGCTCAGAGGTTAAGAGCACTGGCTGCTCTTGCAGAGGACCTAGGACTTAGGTTTAATTCCTAGCATTCGCATACCGGCTAACAACTGTCGGTAGCTCCAGTTCCAGGGGTATCTGATGCCCTCTTCTGACCTCCTTGGGCATTCCATGACACAGATGCACTTATACACATGCAGGCAATACACTCATACACAGAAAGTAAAAATAATAAAATATTTTAAAATGTAAGGTGAATCTTGTAGATTTTTTTCCCCCTGAGACAGGGTCTCACTGTAGCCCAGGCTGGCCTGAAATTCACTATGTGGTGAGGTTGACCTTGAATTCTTAGCAATCCTATCTCACAAGTCACCCAAGTGCTAGTATTACAGGTGTGTACCACCATGCCCAGCTTTAGATGACTTAAGGAAAATAGTTTTGAGAAGAACCCACCTTGGACTTACAGTTTTTTAAACATATGGAAAAGTTTGAGAGGGTAGTACAGCAAACACATGCATAGTTATGACCTAAGTTCCACAGTTGCTAACATTTTTGCCATGTTTGATTTAACTCTGCATGAGGCCAAATCATATTACTGGTTTTATATGTCAAAGGCATACTGACAGAGCTTCCATCTCTCCACCACACACTGCTCTACGTTATCTAAAGTGCATTTTAGACATAATATTGCCAAAATTTTAAGCATGTATTAGCAAGAAGATTCTCTGGTATAACTACAATATCATGATCAAATATTTCCCTTTTTTCCAAGAATTTTTAGTTTTAATTTTTTTTGAGTTTTAAGATAAGGTATTCTACAGCCTGGGCAAACTTCAAATTCATTATATAGCACAGGTTGACCTTGATCTCATAAACTTGCTTCTGCTTCTGGGTTTATGGATATATACCATCACACCTGGCCTGTTTCAAGAATTTTTAGATTGTAAATTCCCATCTTTTTCCACTTAAAACCAATATTTAACCAATGTTGTGCATTGCAGTTGGTTATAAGTTCTTGTCCTTTTTGGTTTAGAATAATCTCCCAATATTAAAAAAAAAAAAGTGCCTTTAACTTTTTAGAAGTCAGACCAGTTTCCTTAGAGAAAGAGTCCACTGTGTGAATTTGGTTGTTTCCTGATGTTATTATATTTTAACATCTAGTCTTTACATTTCCTGTATGCAAAGTGAGGCTGGGCTTTAGATTCAATATTCTTGGCAAGATTTCACTAGGGGTGTTGTGCATTTTTATTACACATCCAGAGAGATGCCATGTTGCTCACTAGTACTGAATTTAATATTGATCCTTAGGTCAAGCGGGTGAACATAGATGTCTGTTTTGTAAAAGTATGTTTTCTTTGCAAATGGTTAGCATTTGTGGGAAATTCTTTGGGAATATGTGGATACACTGTCCCTCAAAACTACTTTTGGGCTTTAGCTTTACATTATTGATACTTTTGTGACTCAGTCACTGCCTTGAGGATGCAAAGTGGAGTGGTAGTTTTCTAAGCCTTCTACCTTTAATTCACTGACATTCTAAAAAAGAGATTTTCTTATTTGCCTTTCTTAGGCCCATTAGTGCTTATTTATTTGCTATCTTAAAAATCATTTCAGTCTGTTCTTTTTGAAGCTTCACATGCCCCCAATTTGGCCAGTAGGTGGATGAATTCTGTTAAAACCATAGAATCAGCTCAGTCCCATAATTCAGTTATGTTTTAGGACATATATCTAGTTAAATTAATTTTTCTTTAAACATGTTTTTGTTTACATTTATTTATTTTGTGCATGTGTGTGGGTTCATGTGAATCAGGGTGGAAGTTTGGAGGTCAGAGGACAATTTGTAGAAGTTGTTTCCTTCTTTCCACCATGTAGATCCTAGGCAGGGCTTGGGTTGTCAGACATGGTGGCAAGCAACTTTACCTGCTGAGCCAACTCTCTGGCCCTAAAATTAATTTTTCAAATGCTAGATTTCAGATGCTTAACTATCTTTTAAAATACTGTCTAAAAGTGTTCTTCCTATATTAAATATATCTCTTATTTCTAGCAAGGCTTTCATGTTTGTAATATAGCAAATGAATTTCTATGGCTTATAAAAGTCACACCTTAGCAAAACATCTTTTTTTTTTTTCTCCACAAGATCCTTTTTAAAACAAATTCATAATTTTTTTAGGTTGGCATTAATGAGTTTCATCACAAGATCTTCATACATTTGTCAGCAAGATTTTTTTTTTGCAAGACCTCTCAGATAACTCTCAAAATGTTGTAGAGTTGCTAGTGTTTTTACTATTCACGTTCTTTTTTAAAGAAATTTAAAAAATAATTTTGATTATGTGTTTGTTTTGCCTGCATGTAAGTAAATGCTCTTTATACGTGCAATGCCTGTGGATCAGTGCAATGTCAGATCCACTGGAGCTGGAGTTATAGATGGTTGTTAGCTGCCATGTGGGTGCTGGGACCAGAACCTGGGTTCTTTGCAGGAGCAGCCAGTGCTCTTACCTGTGGAGCCATCTCTAGTCTTCATTCACATGTTCTTATGTGAAACAAGTGATTTTGCTTTGACTAGTATTTCTTTGATTACCTGACTAAATCTAAGCCAAGCACAAGGAAGGGATTGAGCTCATCATTTCTAAACTGGTCTCATCTCCTTGAGGCACGACTATAAAGTTTATTGTATGAGGTATCTGTGACCTATAGTTAGTTCTTGAATCATTTCCAAGTTCTTCTCAATGAACATTATTCTTGGAGGGGACACTTTCTGAAAACCAGCTTAGTGAACATTTGAAGTGACTATACCAAACTCAGAGAAGTGTGAAAAACAGGCTTTTCAAAGAACTCTTAATTTGTCTTCTTAGTTTGTTTCTTGATGTATTAGTCAGGGTTCTCCAAAGAAGCAGAACCGGTAGAATGAATATATATGTATAGAGATTTATCAGCTTAGCTCACAGGATAAAGTCCGAGTAGTCCAACAATGGTTGTACCACACTGGAGACGCTGAGAATCCATAGTTGCTCAGTCCACAAGGCTGGATGTCTCAGTAGTCCCAATCTGGGTCTGACACATTCCAAAAGATCAGCTAGTCTTCAGTCTACAGCAGCAAGATGAACTCACCAGCGAGAGAGAAGGCAAGCAGCAAGAAGCCAGGCATTCTCCCCTGACTTAGCCTTTTATACGGGCTGCCATCAGAAGGTAACACCCACATTTTGGGCGTGTCCTCCAGTTTCAGATGATCCAATCAAGAAGAGCTCTCTCATTTCAGTTAATCCCAGATCCAGTCAAGTTGACACCCAGGATTTGCCATCACAAGTCCACCCCTTGTCAATTTGACACACAATAGCATCTCTCTATGTCATGCTGAATTTTCAAATGAAAACAATCTTGAGATCATAATTTCACCTAACATGATATGATTATCCCATCATACATTCCATCTTCGAGGAATGCTTAGTCCTTTAGTGTCTCATAATCCATATAATCATATAGGTTCACAACACTTAACCACTTAACACATCTCAATTATACATTCAAAAAAAGAATAACTAGCCAGGCGTGGTGGCACACACCTTTAATCCCAGCACTTGGGAGGCAGAGGCAGGCAGATCTCTGTGAGTTCAAGGCCAGCCTGGTCTACATAGTTCCAGAACAGCTGGGGCTACAGGGAGACCCTGCCTCAAAAAAAACAAAAACAAAAACAAAAACAAAAAAACCTCAAATATCTGCACAAGCCTATTCTTAACCAAATAGGACAAGAATACTCATGTCAATTACAATCCACATTTCTACAACTGGTCATGTGGCCCAAGTTGGTATTTTTAACTACCTTCCTCTACTACCCATTCTGTATTTCCTCTGCAGGTCTTGGCTCTTTCCCTGGAGGAGTGACCCATACTCTCATCCCTGAAGGGTCTGGGCCGTTTGTTGGCCTGTCTGGATTGGGGTGGTACAGTTTGCCATTGACCTTCATGTCAGGACATGGTAACACCAAAAGATGCCCTAAGGAATCTCCTGTCTTCCAGATATAATCTTCATTACCTCCATTGTGGAGAACCAGTCCAATTTACCCCGGTAGTCTGGGTCAATCACCCCTCCTAATACTGTTATTCCTTTCTTAGCCTGCTGACTTAAGGGCATCAGAAGCCCAAAGTGTCTGGGGGTGGGTAGTCTTAGCTTCCAGTTCAATGGAATGTTTGTTGTCTCTCCTGGCAGAAGCACTCCCTCCTCTGGAACCAAAACATCTAAGCCAGTAGAGTGCAAGGGTACAGGAAGCAAAAATTTTCCTAGTGGGTTACCAGGGGTGATAGTGAATAGAATCATTCCCACTTCCACCCCTTGATTCCTGGACCTGTGAATCCTGGATATAGGAGAAACTATACCATATATTGAATGCTGATTCAAAGCATACACTGCCTTCTGGAGGACCCTGCCCCAGCCCTCCAGGCTATTGCCACCTAATTGGTACTGTAACTGTCTTTCTTTTAGACCATTCCATCGTTCTATCAAGCCAGCTGCTTCAGGATGGTGGGGAACATGGTAAGACCAATGGATTCCATG